AAGCACCGTGGCCCTCCTGAGCGATCTGTGCACGCGTGCACACAGCCCCGCTCCCAGAGGCGCTCACCCTGCCCTGCCGTCTCTGTCCTACAGACCGACTTCGAGAAGGACGTGGATCTGGCCTGTAGATCAGGTGAGCGCCCGACAGGTGAGAGGACAGTGCCAGCCCGACCCCCTGCACAGCCCCACTCCATGCCTCCACCTGTGCATCACCCACATCACTCATCCCTGTCCACCCCTGCTGCCCCCACCCACACCCAGCCACACCATCAGGCCCACCCGGACCCAGGGGACCTGCCCTGGGGGCCCAGCCGAGGCAGCGACCTTGGCCACCTTGCCTCCCACCCCCGCCCACGCCCCAAGGCCGAAGGAGGGTCCACGGGGCATGATCAGAAGCTTCCAGAACACCGCCCTGGCATTCCTACGGGGTAGGTGCCCGTGTAGCCCCTGGCTGCCTCCCCTGCCCACCTGGCATCTCCTTTTCCTCTGTCGTGGCTCCAGCTTGGAGCACAGCCCCACCCCATTGCCCCTCCCCCCACCCACCTCCTGCCTGCCCCCTCTAGCACCTGTGTTCTGTGCCACCTTCATTTCCTCATTACCAGTCCCAGCAGGGGGGGAAGTGAGTGGGGCTTTCGGGCTCGGGCGACAATGGGGAGCAAGAGGAAGGCGGGGAGAAGGACCCACCATGGAGCCCTCGGCCGGTGCTGAGCTTCCTGGAACCAAGTGCAAAAAGGGAATGACTGCCCAATAAAGGAAGCTCTGCCGCCCATCCCCAAGCATCAGACTGGGAGGGTCTGTTTCTGCCCCCACCACTGTTCTGTGAACCAGGTCCTGAGGCAGTGACAGGCGGTGGCTTTCTGGGCTGTGGAGAGGCCAATGGACCATGCACCCTCTGGTCATTTAGATATTTGAGGAGCACGTTCTCTAAAGACAGCCCTGGCAGAGGAGCTGGGACAGCCCCAGGTGGGGAGTGTGTGCTGGTACCAGTTGGGCCCCAGGAGGGCTTCCTGGCGGAGGTGACATCAGGGCTGGGCTGAATGGGAGCTGGACAAAAAGCACCTTCTGCCCCCTTGGGATCTCCTGTGATCCAGTCCCACAGCTCTCCACGGGGTGGCCCCAGGACTTGGAGCCTCAGGTGGCTTTGGTGTGTGGGGGCCTCTCTGGGCCCCTGATTCCCTCTCATTCGTGCGCTGTGTGCGATGCCTTCGGGATCGCATGCAGCTAGTGGATGCGCCATGAGCAACTGGTGCTGAGTGTCTGGGAGCTTCCTCAAAGGAGGAGGGTGGGCGGGGCGCCAGCGAGGGGTCTGGGCCTGGGGGGAGCTTGGCTTTTATTCTGCCCTGAGCTGGGCAGATGCGAGGGAGGCATCCAGATCCCTCACATGCCAGGCGCTCATTCTGCCCTGTGGGAAGCAAAGCGTGAAGTGTGGGGGAGGTCGGGAGCCCCAGGGTCTGTGCGGGGTGGGGCGGCCTTGGGGACGTGTGTCCTGAGAGTGCTGCGGCTGTCCGGGTGGGGCCTGTGGGTTGACGGGGGGGATGACGGGTTGCTCTCGGGTGGGGATGGTGGGGGCAGGGCTGAAGATGGGCGCAGAGTGTTGCTGTCCAGAGGGTGGAGGAGAGGACGGGGCCAGGAGCACAGCCTGCCGAGCTCTGAGGGGGAGAGGGAAGCCTGTGTTTGGGAGAGTGAGTGTCCCCTGGCAGGTGACCCTGGGGCCTGTGTGCCTAGCAAGGTGGCTGAAGGGAGCAGCTGCTGAACACAGGCATCCAGGGCTGGCTTGGTGTGTGGGTAACCGTCTGACAGCCTGCACAGGGCAGGACACGGGCCAGGCCAGGCTTCCCAGGAAGGGTCCCAGGGTCTGGATCTTTGGAGACTGGGGCTTGGAGAAAGGAGGGATGTGGAGGGTGGGCACCCCTCTGGCAGGGGCAGGCGGCTGGGTGAGGGTCAGCCTGGGGCTCTCTGCCGACCAGGAGGGGCTGGATTCATTGACAGGAGGTCGGGGGCAAACTGGAGCCCCACTCAGAGGTCAGGGCAGCTGGGGTCCTTGCAGCTGACCAGAGACAGAATCGAGAGGTGTCTGGGTATGGGGACTTTTCTCCAGGGACTGGGAGGCCCTCAGGGCAGAGTGGGGAGGCCCCAGGGGCAGCGATGCAGGAAGGGCTGTGACAGAGGGCCAGGGCCTCACAGCTGCACTCAGTACCACTGGGCTCCCCCACACTGTCCCCCAACCACACCAGGCCCAGGGCCATGGGCGTTGGGAGCACTGGGGTTCGCCTGGGCTCTGCCACAAGAACAGGCCATTCTGCCTGTGTCCCTGTGCTTCCGCCCTCGCCTGCTCTTCTCAGCGCTGGGGACGGCAGTGTGTGGGTGGCAACCGTTTGTCGTCTTGGGGCTGGCGGAGAGGGACACCCTGTGTGGCAGCCTCATCTGAGGACACAGGAACCCTAGGGGGTGTAGCACCAGGCCTGGGTAGGGTGGTACCTGCAGTCGGCCCTCAGATTGGGACCCAGCAGGAGCTGGCCGGGGTCTCCCAGGAGGTGGCGGCCTCACAGGGCAGACTGGGCCGCTTTCCTGCTGGGGACCGTCCTACGCTGTCCTCACCCCCACACCTGTCCCCGCTGTCTCCCCCGCGGCCCCTGCAGTGCTGAACAAGGACATCGCGGCCTGCCGTACAGCCACCATCACGGGCACACTGAAGCGGCCGTCTCTGCCCGAGGAGGAGAAGCTGAAGCTGGCCCATGCCAAGGGGCCGCCCACCAATTTCAACAGCCTGCCGGCCAACGTGTCCAAGCTGCACCTGCACGGCTCACCCCGCTACCCCGGCGGGCCCCTGCCCGACTTCCCCAACCACTCACTGACCCTCAAGAGGGACAAGGCGCCCAAGTCCTCCTTCGTCGGTGACGGGGACATCTTCAAGAAGCTGGACTCGGAGCTGAGCCGGGCCCAGGAGAAGGCTCTGGACACGAGCTACGTGATCTTACCCACGGCCACGGCCACGCTGCGGCCCAAGCCCAAGGAGGAGCCCAAGTACAGCATCCACATTGACCAGATGCCGCAG